AACTAAAAATGTACATTATTCATAGTTGAAGGACCAATATGAGCAAAAAAAAGTTGAGGGATGCAAATTGTGTAAAATGATAAAGTTGATGGACCAAAAAATTGATATTTATGATTCTAGTGCTTGTTATATAATATTAAGATATTGATGAATTTTTAAGGCACGTACTACTTAATTATGGGAGAAGATCGGAGTTGGATATATCATCGTCCAGATGAAATGGGGTATTGGAACAATGAATTTAATGCTGGGGTAGAGATTTTCTTAGATTTTGCATTCTCACAAACAGACCCGATTTTTTATGCAATGAATATGATTCGATGTTCGTGTAGTAAGTGTTGGAATAGAGAATGGCATCATCGACGCAGAGTGCAATCTCATCTTATTACGAACGGCTTCATGGATGGGTATTTAATTTGAAAAAGACACGAAGAAATTATTCATAGAAAACGGCGTTGCACCCAAGTGGGTGAATCATCAAGTGCCGCTGCTACTGCTGCGATGAATAATGTTCCAAGTGTCGATCAACTCAGAGACATGCTTCATGATGCTATAGGACCAAAATTTTTTAATAATGAAAATAGTGCCACAAGAGTAGAAGATGCAACACAATTTGATGCTAGTTTTGATGATCCATATGGTGTTAGTACAGAATCGATATTTGAGGAGCCAAGAGGAGATGCAAAAGAGTTCTTTGATCTTTTGCGAGCAGCTGATACACCTCTTTTTGATAGGTGTGATGATGGTGTCACTGTCTTAAAGTGGGTGTGTGAGCTCATGAGTGCAAAAACACTTTTTAACATGAGTGTTACTAATTGGGACTATGTGCTAAAGCGTAGTCTAATGGCCTTCAAAAACGTTGATAGGGAGAAATTGCCAACAGATTATTATAGTGCCAAGAAGATGTTGAGGCGTCTAGGTCTCGGGTATAAAAAGTATGATGTTTGTGTGAACAATTGCATTTTGTATTATGGAGAGAATATGAAAGTCAGTGTTATTTACAGTGCCCTGTATGTGAAGAGCCACAATTTAAGCAGCGTGACGTGCATTCTGCTAAGCCTATACCAAGAAAGTCTTTGTGGTATCTTCCAATTATTCCTAGACTTCAGAGATTGTATATGTCTAGGAAAACTACCGAGCATATGACCTGGCATTTAAATTGTTATAATGAAAATGAGAAAATGTTTCATCCTACATGTGGAGAGGCGTGGAAGCATTTTGATAGCACTCACCCTGAGTTTGCTAGTGAACCGAGGAATGTTAGGTTAGGTTTGTGCACTTATGGGTTCACTCCTTTTGGACATTTTGCATCTCCATACTCTTGTTGGCCAGTATTTGTGTTAGTTTATAACCTACCTCCAACAATATGCATGAAGCAAGAATATGTATTCCTTTCATTGATTATCCAAGGTCCCCAAA